GAAAGAAAGTTAAAGTGATTGAGAATGACCATCTCATGAGTGGCCCTATACTAGGCTGATTCAAGAGTTCTGTCCGATTTGCGATTTTTTCATTTGAAATCTTATAACTTTTTTCAAAATCAACAATTCTGAACGAATTAAATTTTGTTGAATTACACTGTATGCCATGTAAGGAAGGCTAGCGAGAGAGAAGAGAGAATTTTCGAAATCCGCAAGCCTTTCTTCAAAACCGCCAGTTTGACTTACTAATGCTTCCATATGAGGATGAACAGACATATCTAGCTGCCATAATTATGTAGCCTATACTTCAAACGTTCTTTTGCGGCTAAAGAGAATTCGAGTTATCTTTGCTGCATAGAAATTTTTGCGAGCAAATCAGAAAATCCCCATGAGCCCTATTCCGCGTGCGAAAATATCCGATTTTTTAATATTTGATTATTTCAAAAAAGCCAGTTGGCTGACGGTTCCTGCTTGCCCTCACTTCATCATCAATCGCTATATGTTGATTGTTGTCGCTTGTTGAATAACTGGGTTTGTCTTCCATCTTTGAAAAAAAATTGGAGAAGTGAGACATTCTCTACGCCTGAGTAAAGATGTGCTTATGTTAGCCCATTACACCCTCAACCATTATAAATCTTCTTATATATAAAGCTGAATGTCTGTTTGTCTGTCTGTCTGTGTGTACGTATGTTCCGAATAGAAAATTCCATTTCTGAACAGATCCGGACCAAACTTGGCACACATACAGATCGGGCCCCGGTGGGTGTCATAGGCTACTTTTCGTCATCGATCGATATCGATTTTATCGATTTTTATCGATTTTTTTACTAAGTTCACGGGGCTGGGAGTTTGCATAGGAGGGTAATCGAGCATGGGAATTCCGAATACAATGTTAGGCCTAAGGCATACCTCGCGCGATTCCGGTCGCTACGCGATTTGCCAGTGCAAGAACTCCTCATAGCTGGTCGTAAACGGACTTTGCTTGAGCCAGACTTGGTGCGTCTGGTAAAACTTACGAAATCTATGCGCCCATGCATCTGAAAGCCGCGCATGCTTGGTATGTAGAAATCTGGCAAATCGCCAAGTCGCGGGGATGTGGCGATTTCGCGAAATCGCTAGAGGTATGCCTTAGGCCTTAGTTTTCAGGATTACCGATTACTTTTATAGATTTTATCGATTTATGCAAAGTTTGAGCTACGGGGCTGGGAGTTTGCAAAGGGGGGTCGAGCATGCTGATTACGAATATAATATTAGTTTTTAGAATCGTCCATTACCTTTATCGACTTTATCGATTTTTTTGCAAAATTTGACCTGCAGGGCTGGGAGTTTGCACAGGGGGGTAATCGAGCATGCTGATTACGACTTCGATATAAGATTGGCGATTCGGCTATGCGGGCCCCAAAATTTTTTTGTCGTAGAGCTTGCTCAAACTTCGTGTATAAGAGTTATCTTACATGCTGATTACAGATATCACACTTTCTCGCAGAACGTCTTCCTGCGTGGTTACGATAGGTGTACGGTAGGAAGTCAAAATCATGAATTCGGCTGAAGTTCGGTCAATATGGCTTATTCGACATGCTGGTTACGAATATGATCTCTCTCTCTCTCTCTGCATATTGGGACCTTTTCATAAAGTTGTGGTGGTTATATGGCATGGGGTCCAAAACATAGATTTGCTTTAAACTTCGTCTAGGGTGGTCATTTAGCGCGCTGAACATGAATATCATGCTGATTTCGTAGGATAGCGCATTTTCTAGGGTTACGGTAGGTGTAGATGGGTCGAAGTTCCAGATTTGCTCAAAACTTTACCTGCAACGTTCACAAATATATCGCTTATGAATATGATGGTTGATCGCTGTCACAACGCATTATTGTGAAGTTATGGTGAGTTGCAGGGTTTGAATGGACATTTTTTCGCTTTCGGGCCAATTTAGATCCCAGATATTCACGAAATGGGGAAACGGTGGTTTGCATGGCGGTCTCCAGCGCCATCCTGATAACCTGTCCCAACGTGTAACGCACGCGGCAAATCTCCCCTCCCCTGTTTTTGCTTAGGCAAAAGCTGCCGAAGGGTGTATCGCGCGCGGCAGTGGTCCTATAAGGGAAAGCATTACGGTCGTGGGAAACTTTTATACCACACGAATTGCCTTTATCATGGGGATTGACCACGATATTCTTGGAACAGCACTTTAGGTAATTTTCTGCAAAGGTTTCAGGCAGGTTCATATTTTTACCCGCTGCCATGTACCTACCGTAACTCTGCGAAAAGGTCTCAAAACGCAACGAGAGTGTTTTGCATATGGTCAGAAGGTCGAATCTCTCTAGACCGAGTTTCAGCCAAACTGAGATTTTGCCCCTCTGCAGTATACCTACCATAACTCAGTGAAATCGCCTCAAAATGCCGAAGAAGTATGATATTCGTAATCAGCATGTCAATTAGCCTCCCTCAAAGTTCCAGCGAAATCCATCATTTTAGCTTTTTATGTGTACCTAACCCAGAAAACCCAGAACCAGAAAATGGCGCTCTCGCGCGAAATGACTACGATATTCGTCATCAGCGGCTTTAATAATCCCCATGTACCGACTCTGAGCAAGATCCATCACAAAAACATCTTAGGGGCCGGATAGCCGAATAGCGCCATCATTTTCCAGAATTATCCTTGCTTTTACCGATTTTATTGGGTTTTTTTTTGCAAAGTTTGAGCTACGGGCTGGGAATTGTTGAGGGAGGTAGATGGGCATGCTAATTACTAAATAACACAGCCGGAATAGGGAATTGCATGTAGAAGTGGGCACAATGAAGGATTCTACAGGGATAGGGATAAGACCTGAATCATAGCATTGACAGGGCCGGGCGGAGCCGGGTAAGCCAGCTAGTTATCATATATTTAGTTTTGCGAATACTGCGGAATTCCCCTTCATGTAAACTTTTTCTTGGGACTGCATTTTGGCAACTTTGCTTCGGGGCTCAAAATTTAATCACAGGAAAGTTGATTCGCAAGCATCAATAAGCACTAGAAAGAGCAAGAAAAGTACTAAGGTGAGTCAAAAGTAATGAGAACATCGCTTCTCTTGTTAGACCTACTCTCAAATTAGGTAGAATGTATGCATGCAAGTGCTTCTGAACGGTGTCAGATACTTTTCTTCCTCTTTCCGATAACTATAAATTTCAATAAATCACTTCGTGATTGCTGAAATATATGCAGAAATTTTGAACCCAAAGCGTTTGTCGTTTAAATTCTACGGTTTTTCAGACTTGTCAAAAAATTCTAGATTGTGGTAAATTGAAGCGATAAACGCTTGATTATCTTGCAAAATCAAGGATTGATAGTAAACTACTTTCGAAGCTCCCAAATTCGAAAAATTTATAGGGTTTAACGCGTTTTCAAGCGATTTTTTGAGAATTTGGGGCTTTTGGAAAAATGATCTTAAAAAGCTACAAAATACTAGTTTCAAAAGACCTAAAAAGTGATTTACATCAAGCAAGACCTGCTTTGTTTTTCTGTAACGGAATTTGTTTGAGAACCTCAAACTGAAAATTCTAGGTTTAGCTAAATTCAATCGAAGCAAAAATGACGGATTCAGAATTTTGGAAATTTTTTCGGCAACTAAAAAGTCAATTCGGTTTTTGACCTGACTGCAGAAAAGAGGAAGAAAAGCTGCTTTTACTACATTTTATTTTACTCTTCTATCCCTATTCCACACGATTTGCGGAAAGTTCGAATTGGGGAGCGGAAAGTTCTCATTACTTTTGACTCAACCTTCTAGCCGATGGTTATGACAGTGCCATAAATGCAAAACCCTAAGAAAATAGCTGCGTTAAAACAAGGAATTGTAAATCGGACAGAGCTTTTGAATCAGTCTAATATTTGGAAACCTCAGAATTCGCTAAAACTTTCCCACAAAGATGCTAATTACGAATACGATGCTCTTATGCTATTATAGATCTTTTATTATGTTTATTGACATATACGATGGTGGATCCTCCTCTCCCTGACCTCTCAATACGACCTCCCGCCCCAGGTATGGCATGCCACACCCCACACTTGATCCTGGTTGTCGGTTTTAGGGAGGCCGCTGGGTTGTTCATAAAATCTCAAATACTCTCTTTCTTAATATCTTCGAAGTCGAAGGGATTGTCGAGGGGTCAACGAAGTCCATAGCAATGATAGCCTACGCCTGGTGCTCACAATGTGTGGCCACAAACAAGTGCACCTGCAAAAATATGCATTTTCATCCGTTTTGCATTTCGTCTTCTTAGTTTATCAGCATATGTGGAAATCTATTAGGCCCAAAAATGAAGCTGGCCCTTGAACCTTGTAACACCTCAAAAGTGAACATAGGGGGAGAGTCGGCTTCTCTTGGCTATCGCACGTCTACCAGATCGCTGCATAGAATTGATTGCATCATTCAGTTGTTGCTTTCGACTTGCTCGTTATCATTTTTTCAGTCTTCTGCTTGAAGCGGTTACATATTTTCACCTTGAGCTGTGGCGCAGGACCTCAAGAAGACAATCAATTTGCTCTTTCATCTAACAAGAGGATGGACGGATAGATTACTTATAATTTTGGGAACCTGATGGCGTTTCGGTGTTTACTTTTTTAGGGTGGCGGACTTGTTGAACGATGCGCGCGCTTGGGCAGGCAAATATTAATAAGGAGCGCACCGAAGCCACGCCCATTGCTAAATGGACTAGTTTTTGCACTACATCTTTAGTCCTGGTCCATGGCCATCTTACTTAATACTGGGTTTTGGGAGTAAGCAGTAAGCCTGCTTCTGATCTGAAGGTTCAAATTTCGCAATGCAAAAATAGATGAAGCATAAGCGAAGCACAGAAAATTCATCTTGATCCTTCCGCTAGCTAGCCAGGTGGCGAAGCATTGCACTGCGTAGGGTAAGCAGTTGGATGCCAGTTAGTGAATATATATACCGGTGCTAATCGTTTTACTCTACCTACTTCTTCAGACAACTCGAGATATTTTTGAAACAACAAAATTTAGACATAGCGCGAACGCGACTGTCATTCGAAAGAGTATGGATAGGACTGCAACGAAAAGATTTGCCATACGATACCACGAAAGTTGGTTTCTATTGGAGTGACGGATCGGTGACCGATTATACCAACTGGGCTCGTGACCAACCACATTCTGCTGATGACGCATTTTGTACCAGTGTAAGTCCACTCTCAGTTAGGACCTTAAGCTACTATCAAAAAACCTGTTTTTCTCAACCTGTGGCGGTTCAAAATCGGGCAGCGGGTGTGTAGCGTTCATCAACACATGGCGACCATTCCTCACAAAGGAATAGTATTTTTCAACCGTATTCAGCAACCAACCTATGGGTTGCCTACCCACTTGGTTCACCAAAAGTTAGAGAGAGACTAAGGCCCGTATGCGCGTACATCGCCGCTGGGGAAAGGAGGGTTTGAGAAGGGATGCGTCATATCGCGCTACTCTATGTATCTTTCTTCTTCTTTCTCTATCTTGCTTATGAAGGTTCTCATAAACTTGACCTGTGCATAATGGATGCCAGGTACTGCCATACAAGATTAGTTTTTTGACATCTTGTGTGATCCCCTGGGGATCCCCAGGATGATCACCAGGAGATCACCTCTCATTTTCAATGTGACTTATCTTCCTGAGAATTCAATGAAAACGCTGCAAAATTATACTGAGAATATACTACGGCACACTGTAAGCATGTTTCGACAGGAAAAATGGAATCTGAAGATTGTGAGTTTTCGATGATCTCTAGCTCGCGAGCTAGGGATTATCGAAGATTTCGATATCTTGAGATTCCACTTATTTCTGCTATAAACATCTTTGGCAGTGTCGTAGTATGTCCACAGTACAATTTTACAGCGTTTTACTGAGTTTTCAGAAAGATAAATGTCATTGGAATTGAGATGTGATATCACACAAAATAGTGGAAATCCAATTAATTACGTCAGTAACCTGGCATCAATCATGCGCAGGTATTAGGGTATGTGAACCTTCATAAGCAAGATAGAGAAAGAAGAAGAAAGATAACTTAGGTAGCGGGATATGATGCATCCCCTCTCCTCTCAGATCCTCTCCACTCCCCATGTACGTGCATACGAGCCTAATTCAACGTCAGCACTCGCAAGCGCTTCCAGTGGAAGTGGAATAGGTTATCGTGCAGTCGGTATTCACAAGCGCTTCCGCTGAGTTATAGGGCTCCGCGTTATCGCGAGTATCAGTATAGGGCTCCGCGTTATCGCGAGTATCAGTCAGTTTTCGCATTGCTCGCGCATTGAGCTTTCTTAGTTTTTTTCTCCTTTCGGATACTTTTCTGCTATTAGATGTTAGCTTTCAATAACCTAGCGATTTCGAAAAGTAGAGGTCTGTTGAGTGAATCGAGGCCTTGTGGCATCCTGCGTGTGCAATGCCCGAAACACTGACCATCGCGATCACGCAGAGCCTTAAAGCTCACCTGCAAAGGCTTTGACGTCGGCAAGATGCCCGTTGAAGTCTATACGAGGCAACCCAAACGTCCTTACCTGAAGGTCGCTAACCCACTGGTTGTGCGTTAGCGACCTTCATGCTTTATGCGTTTTTTCATGTTCGCTATACTTGATCCTCTTCATCCGCCTGATCCGCTTCGTGCAAAATGCCGTCGCTAATTTGTCATTTGGCGTCGCGTACAGCGAATCTGCGTAACCATACAAAATTCCTTTTTACCTACGCGGCAAATGACGAACTGCTGTGTGGTGCGTTTGGCGTTTTGCACAAGCGGATCAAGCCCATCAAGAGGATCAGGCATGGCGGATGCCTACATACCCACTACTTCTCGTTACGAGCGCGTCCGCTGAGTTAGTAAAAGCTTCAAATTCTAAAGCGCTGGACATCTGCAATTTCACGTTCTTTAACCATTTTCAAATATGTTCATATCCACTACCTTTTTCTATGAGTACATCACAGAAACGAGATGTTGTACAACAAAAGTATACTACCCCTGCGAAATAGCTTCGTTTTTTAAAATTATTTTCCATCCATTTAAGTCAAGGAAAGATCTCAAAGTTGTGCTGCTTATACCCAGACAATAAACCGGATCCATTCGGTGGGCTAATTCGGTACCGTCCGGGCTCTCCCTAGCGGCGGTACGGAACTCGCGCCTTGGATCCTACCGAACTTCGTGCACCATAAGTCCGCGAAAGCCTATGTCATGGCGAAACCCCTGCACATTTGTACACCTAACATAATTTAACTAGTCCCAAGCTCCAGAAACCCTGCATTTTCACACCTGGCATACTGCAACTAGCTCTAATGAAGCTACAAAGCCTATTTTAGCCCTCAACCCCACTCAAACTACCTCTAGACATTCAATCACCACTCTAAGCGAAAAAAGCGAACACTATTAGACATAATACTACTACTATCTATTCGTGTACTAGTAAAGTAACAAACACAAGTTTTGATAATGAATGAGATGAAATAAGCACGATGATATATCAGAAGCACTCGTTTTGCAGTGAGAAAAAGATTGGAAGGGATCTGAATGAAATAAGACAAAAAATTTCACATATAAATCAGTGTCATAACAACAAAAGCAACATGGGAATAATAGAAGACAATGAAAGAGGGAATAGAGATATGAGGCAAAAATGAGATTCAGCAACTCAGAAGATGGTGAAAATAATAAGTGAAGTCGGAGGCCGGGGGAATGAGGAGAGATCATTTTCCTCGGAGTGCAGAGGCATTCCTGTGAGACAGACAGTGGAGAAATAAAGATCGACAAAAGCCTAGACATGTAACGGCATACAATTCAAGTGTAACAGATGATAACTCACCTTTTGTAGATGGATTTCAACTCCGTTGAAAGGCGCGTGCAAGCTCAATATTGCAACCTAGCTCACTTCACAGAGCAAATTCGCACCTTTCCACGAAAAGCCACCAAGCGGAAATCAGCAGATACGAGTCACACAGCTACTAATTACAAAACATTGCGTTGGCACTAAGAGCATATGCTTGTTTCTAGATGTTAAGCCTCCACCAAGATTGTTACAACTTTTATTTCGGCTGACGTTTCGGCCAACTCGCCTTCGTCGGAGCCTGTAAGTGAGGAACAAATGAGATTTATCCTCCCAAACGTCTCATCAAATGCAAGGAACAGACAAAAGTTGGCTGGAAACGGAAACGATGCTGCCTAGGATTAACAGCCCCACCTGAGACTTTGCCGAGTGCGGGTCACGGACCACCACTGACGGACGTATGAATGATTAGTGAGCTAGGTTCCCGGGTTGTTGCGGTTGTGGGTCAAACCCGCATAACTCCAGGAAGGGCGCGAGTTCGTTAGTTATTGCAGTGCATTCATCTTTCCTGTTCATTTGAGGATTTCTGGACAAAATCCAACAGCTTCTAGCGTCTTGCGCCCCGCGACCTCTGCTTCTCGCGACAGAATTGACACTGTAATATCAAATTCTGTACCATTATGCTGCAGCATCCGATGAGTGCCTAGTGGTGTAGATACTTTTGACTTGCGCATCCCATCCATGTGCTCCTTTATCCTAGTGCACAGTGGCCTCCCCGTTTCTCCAATGTACTCGTGCCCGCACAATTTACAGGTTATGAGGTAGATAACGCCTGAGCGCATACAGTCTCCCGGCCTGCTCGTTTTGCAAATTATGCAGTCTGGTGTTACGCAGGCCGTATCGTATGCTCTGTTGCGTACCAAGCGCTGTTTCAAGTTTTGGGGTGCAATTCTACAACTCGCAATGACTCCTGCAGACCTGCTTTGCGCACGCACGCTCTTATTGCACTACTCAAAGCGTCCGAAATGAACGGGATACAGAATAGCACCTTGTTATCTTGGGCTTCGTTGTGCAGTCTACCGCTGTGACGTACCATAGCACCTCTGGTATATGGATATCCGTTAGCTTGCGCTATTTGAAGGGCTTTTTGGACTGATGCGGCTTTGAGGGTATCGTCAGACGCCACTGTTCTAGCTGTACGCAGCATGTTCCTAATAACGCTATGCTTAGCGCGGATAGGGTGCGCGGAAGAATAGTGCACAAGAATGTTTTTGCTGCTTGGCTTCCTATACCACTTGGTCTTGCATTCTCCTCTGCTTAAGCATAGCTGAACGTTGAGGAAAGGAAGCCAGTTTTCTTTTGGTTTTTCCCGAGTGAATTTTATGTCAGCTGATTGCCTATTGAGCAGATCAAAGCAGGTATCCATCTCTGCCTGCGTCGGACATACGATGAGGCAATCATCGATGTACCGTAAGTAAAGAATAGGTTTGCGGCATAGAACGGGGTATTCTACTTTAGACATAAAAGTCACAGCTAACACAGGCGCCAGACGCTGTCCCATAGCAAGACCCCTTACCTGACGGAAATACTGCCCCGACCAGCGGAATATAGAGCAGTCTAGGCATTCCTTTAGTAACGTCATGATCTGCTGGACTGTAAGACCATATAAGCTGATGTTGTTGGTGTGTTCGCTCAGTAACTCAAATACAGCTTGCAACGCAGCAGAATTTGGTACATTTGTGTAAAGGGAGGTCACATCAAAGGATTCTATGACCTCGCCGTCTTTGAACCGTGTATTACGCAAGCGGTCTAGAAGGGCGTTTGTACTTGATAGGTGCGCGGGGACGTACTGCAGCAATTGAATTAGAATCAAATTGAGTAGCCACGAAATCCTGTCTGTAGGACCGCCGACACTGCTTATAATGGGTCTAACCTTGTAGTCCATAGGATTTTCGGAACCCCGCAAGTCGAGAGGTAACTTATGTGTTTTGATAAGAACGTAAAGGACAGGGCACACTGGTAGATCGCATTTGAGGCGTGTTACGAGATGTTTAGGCAGGTCCGCCATACGCGCCGTTTCCACCCATATCCTATTCAGCTTGCGATATTGTTTAACAAATTCTTTTTCTGACGATTTGCAATACGTTTTTTCGTCTCGAAGGTGTTGTTCTGTAATCGCAATCTCCAGTTGTTTTGGCATAACCACAAATTCGCCACCCTTATCGCTTACTGCTATTTTGATGTTCGCGGCTGTAAGTTCCCGGAGGTCCTTTAAGCCCCTCCTTTGTGCTGTTGTTAAATTAGATGTTTGGCGCATACGCATAAATCGCTTGAGCACCGTGAAAATTGAAGTTGCGAATACGAATGCGAATACGAATACGAATGCGAATAATAAATAAAAG